CCAGATTGAGAAATTAGAAGACCTTTTAGAATAAGTAAATAAATAAACATATATAAACACACATATATACATAAATAGATATATATATATATTTATATATATATGGATATCTATACATGTACGGGCCCCTTAAGAGCCAGCTCTGGGGGCCCCCAGGGGGACCCGTTGGACCCCCAAGGGTTGCCCCTGGGGCCCCGGGGGGCCCCCCGGAGCCCCAAGGGCTGTGTGTTGGCCCACTGCTGCTGCAGCAGACCCCACAGCCAGTTGCGGGGAATTGCAGCAGCCCCTGCAGCAGCACAAATAGGGCCTTTTTAGTATAAAACATGAATATATAAACGTATAAATGAATCATTTAAATAAATATATATGCATTTGTACTCTATTTTTGTGCAAAGTGCCTGCTGCTGCTTAACGCCTCAAGAGCCGCAGCTGAACGCGCTGCAGCAAATGCGGTGTACGTACACTGCAGATTGCGCTAGCTTGCGGCATTGTGCTTCAAATAAATAAAATACTTAAACTAAATTGTGCAAATAATACTATTTTATGATTATAATGCATATTTGTACACAGACAGCTCCTTTTGCTGCCACTAGGAACTAGAAATGCACTCCAGAGCTGCTGCTGCTGTTTCCCTTGGGGCGCAGCTGCTGCTGCTGCTTGCTGCCTATCCTTTTCTCACTCTAAGAGCTACTCTTGCTGCTGCTGCTGCTTCTGCTGCTGCTTCTGCTGCTGCTTCTGCTGCTGGTGCTGCTGCATGCATTGCGCAGCATTCAAACTTCCCTTCAACGGAACGTCCGAGCCACCTGGGCTCACGCCAACAGCAGCAGCTGCTACAGCCGAAGCTGCAGCAGCTGTTGAGGCTGCAGCAGCTGCTGCAGCAGCTGCTGCAGCAGCTGAAGCAGCACGGCCTGCTGCAGCTGCCTCTGCAGCAGCAGTGCAACTCCAGTTCCCGATGCACTCTTACGAATATCGACACCACCGCGCACCTGGTGGGCAGTTCCTGCAGCAGCTGCTACTACTACTACTGCTGCTGCTGCTGCTGCTGCTGTTTGCTGCTGCAACGCAGTCAAGGGAGAGCTGCTCTACGAAGCCTGCAGCATCTTCGACTATCCGCCGAGCCTTTTGGTAAAAAGAAGCAGCATCTGAAGTGTACATACACCTGAACTTCCCCCTGCTGCTGCTGCTGCTGCTGCTAGGTGGCAGCGAAGAAACAATGAACCGGCGGTAGCGCAGGAAGCGATGAGTCTCCTCCAGCCACTGCTGCTGCAGCTGCAAGGCCTGAGGCAGCTGCCGCAGCAGCTGCTGCTGCAGCAGCTGCTGCTGCTGCGCGGGGCGGCTTTGCTGCTGCTGCGGCGCCGCAGCGTCAAGGCCCAAGCCGCTGTGCTCGAAGGCCCTAATGGCATACTCGTAGACCTCGTGCGCTTGCTGCAGCCAGTGCTGCAGCAGCTGCTGCTGCTGCAGCTGCAGCTGCTGCTGCTGCTGCTGCTTCAGCTGCTGCAGCAGCGGCTCAATACGTGCCAGCGCAAAGTCTGCAATACCCAGAGGCAGCAGCAGACGCGCAGCCACAGGCAAATCCAAGTTGCTGCTGCTGCTGCTCTGCTGCACATGCAGCAGCTTCAGTGCCACGTCTGCGCCTGCCTCGTTGTTGCTGCGCCTGTTGCTGCTGCTGCTGTCGCTGCTGCTGCTGTTGCTGCTGCTGCTGCTGCTGCCCTTGCTGGCGGAGGTCCGCATGCGTTTTGCTGCAGGCTGCCTGGCGTTTGCTTCCTGCTGCTGCTGCTGATCCTTCTCGCATAGCTCCAGAAGAAGGTGCTGGACCACCGGGAAGACTGCAGCTGGCTGCAGCGCCTTCACCAACTGCGGCAGCCAACTAGCTGCTGCTGCTGCTGCTGCTGCTGCTGCTGTGTCTGGCGCGAAGCCCTCGAGAAGCGCAGCAGCAAGGAGCTTTCCCTCAGCAGCAGACACACTACCGGGCTGCAGTCGTTTCAACAGCTGCAACAGTCCCGTGTTGCTGCTGCTGCTCTTGCTGCTGCTGCTCTTGCTGCTGCTGCTGCTCTTTGCTGCGAGCTTGGCCCGCAGGAAGTGCAGCGCAAGAGCAGCACTCGCCCCGGGGTGTACAGACACCACGCGCTCCAGAACATTTGCTGCTTCCTGCAGCAGCTGCTGTTGCTTCGCAGCACCGTCTGCAGCAGCAGCAGCAGCAAGCCGCCCCAGCAGCACAGACAACGTGCCAGCAGCATGCCGCAGCAGCACGTCGTGCGAGGCAGCAGCAAGTGCTGCTGCTGCTTCCCGCTGCATTTCATCTGCTATCTCTAAGGGGCTGCTGCTGCTGCTGCTGCTGCTGCTGCGTCTCTGCCGCTGCTTCTGCTGCTGCTCCAACTCCGTGATTCGATCTGTGATGGTGAGAAGCGCCTGCTGCAGCAGCTGCAGGATATGCCGCCGTTGCTGCTGCTGCTGCTGCTGCTGCGGTGCACACCAAAGTGCGTCCCAAATGCTTGCTGCTTGGCACTGCAGGCTTGCTGCATCCGCCAGCAGCTGCAAGTTGCTGATGTCATCCCGGCTGCTGCTGCTGCTGCTGCTGCTGTCGCTGCTGCTGCTGCTGCTGCTGCTGCTGGGTTGTAAGCAGCAGACCCGCAGCACAGCAGGCAGCAGCAGCAGCAGCTTCCCAGCCTGGGGGAAGCCATTTTGGCTGAGGGCCGCCACGGCGTCCCTAGCCGAGGCTTCTTCGTTGTTTTCTGGCTGTTGCTGCTGCTCTTGCTGCTGCTGCTGCTGCTGCAGCTGCAGCTGTTGCTGCTGCTGCTGCTGCTGTTGCATCAGCTGCTCACCATCATGGACCTCAATGGGCGCATCTTCGCCTTCCACATCAATCACCACCTCGATGGAGTCGAACCAGTTGCTGCTG